AATAAAGATAAAATTAAAAGAGGCTTAAAAAGAACAAAAAAAAAAAAAAAAAAAAAAAAAAAAAAAAAAACTATTGTAATTATTTTATAAAGAGAATAACATCCATTCAAAGTTGGTAATTAGATATAATTACTTTATTTTAATATTAAGATTAATTGATTTTATAAAAAAATTAAAGTATTAAAGAATTAGTCAATTTGTTATCTATTAATCAATAAATATATCAATCAACAAAACAAAAAATTAAAAATCCATAACTAGAGAGTATTGGTTTTTTGTCAAGCGTTAAATTGTGTGAGATGCACAACTAAACTAGCTATTATCCTTCTAAATTTCGGCTCATGAATTGTAGTAACAAGAGAAGAATTTCATTTTAAATGAACTTAGATCTATTCACTCAGTTTTATAACATACATTTACTTTCAAATCAATAATTTTTCCACCCTTCTTTACAAGATAAAACAACTTAGATACAATTGAGCATGCTATGATAGAACTTATGACACTATTCAAGAGTGCTAGAATTGTAAGAAGCTTGCATATGCTCTTACAATTAGAGCATTCATTTTGTTGGTGTTGGATACTCATTTAATTTACATTTTGCAAGTGCCTACACATACTCAATTGGATTTAGATCAGGTGATTGAAGAGACTAAGCACATTAAAAAAATTGCATTAACAACTAGTATTTTTTTGATTTTGTAATATATTTAGGATCATTATTGTGCTAAAATATGACTTAAAAAGGATTGAAACGGTTCCATTTAATTGTCTTCACAAGCTCATCTTAAAGAATGCTCAAATATAGACCTTATTTTGTCCTCTCTTCTATCTTGCATATATAGCCCATGCCACAAGAAGTTATACAATCCCACACAAAAATTGCACCACCTCTCTGTTTAACTATCTAGCTAACACAACAAGCTTGTAATTAAAATTTTGTATTTCTCATTTAATACAAAATATATCCATTAAATTAAAATTTATTGGTTTTATTCTCATTACTAAAAATCACCTCATATCAATCATAGATAGTGTAATCTTGATAAAATCGAGCAAATTCCAACCTACATTATATATTTTTGATCATAAGCAGGAGCTTCTTTTATTTTTTTAATGATCCAAGACTTGATTTATGAAGTGCATGCCTCATTGTGTTGGTGCTTGCTACCACATTCAAGTGTTTACTCAAAGCATTCTTCACATCTACATCATTATCTAGTCTATCAATTATAATGGTTCTTATGTATACTTATCTTTAAACAAAGATGATGCTTCATGAGTGCCTTCTTCTTAAAGACTCTACATTAGAAATATACTCTTTAAAATCCTAGAGCATATAGATTGAGAGATTTCCAAAAAAATTGACACTTTACTTATGTTTTGTCCACGCTACAATAGGACTATAGCATCCAACTTCTTTTCGTCTAATAATGATCACATTGGCCAAAAAAAACCTTCACAATTATAAAAAAGTATATTCTAAGAGACCACACTATTGACTAAAAAAGAAAAAATGAATCATAGGCATCCTTGTGAACTCAATTTTATAATTAAAGGTGATTGATAAAAATAGTTTCAAAACTAAGTTAATAGAACTTAGTTCATTTGAAATGAAATTTCTCTCTTATTGCTGTAATTCTCAAGCTAAAATTTGGAAGAATAATAGCTAGCTTGGTTGTGCATCTCACCCAATTTGCAATTTGAAAAAAAAGTTCAAAACTCTTCTAAATATGGCTTTTCAAAATTTATTATTTTGCTCATTGACTCAATTTTGATTGTATGTAATTGAATATTAGTTGCAATTACTACACTTAATAAGGATTCATCTTGTATTTTATATGTATTTATTAAATCTTATATTAAAATTAATACCAAAAAGAAAGTAGTTACTACCATTTCATGTTAAAATAGATAATAATTAAGAATTTTAAATGAAAGACGTTTTGGAATAAACCATTAATAATAAAATGATATAAATAATTAATTCTTTTTATTGATAACATCCATGAGGACTAAAAATCAACCATTGATTTTAAAATGGTATAAATTATTTTTCAAAATAACTTTAAAAATCAACTTATAAAAAAATTTATAATATAAAGAACCTATAGTTAGAAAATTCATCTCAGTTTTGAAAAATTATAAAATAAAATATTTAGATTATTTAAACCTTGAGAATATTTAAATTGTAATAAAGATGATTTTAAAAGACATGTTCTTCTTTAAATAAGTAGTGAAATATATAATGTATGGTATCACAATCTTAAATGAGACTCTTGGTGCTTGATAATACTAGTGGATGTAGGTATTATACATGATGGCATGTAAAACATATTATTTGAAAATAATTGTTTTAGCCTTGATAATAATTAAATAATAAGGTGGTCTAGTAATCCTAATGAAGGACAATATTGACAATTTACAAAAACCACTAACTACCTTTGTGCACAACATTCATCATGGTTTGTTACTAATACAATTCGATGGATCTTAGACTTCATCAAATCTTAAAGTAATTTAAATGTTCCTAGTGAAACTCGTTTTTTTAGTAGAGAGAATAATATAATAAATAAAAATATCATTTTATATAAAATTAGATTAAAATAAGTATAATTAAATATAAATATGTAAAATAGATAATATCTATGTTAAAAAAAATTAATATTTTTTACACATAGATTAGAAGTTTTCTATAGAGATGGCATGAGATTTGCTATTGAAACACATATTGTAAGTTTTTCACTTTATGAAAGTTGAATGATAAGAAACCTACAATTTAATATCTAATCCACAAGCCTTGTGGTTCTAAATTAGCTTCTATAAGATCCTAGTAGCTAGTATATATAAAATGAAGAATAAGACATTCTTTAGTCTTGTCAACACCTTTCTTATATCATAATCTAAATTCAAGATTCTCTTATTTCTTTATAATTGGTAATAGTCATTTTGGTTTCTTTTTTAACTTATAATTACTTCTTCTTATCTTGATCTTAATAAAATAGTTGTATTTAAAAAATCTATCTTAAAAAAATTAATTAAGCTACAAAAAAATAAAGAAGATTATATATATATTTATTTATTTATTTATTTATTTAATCTAATTATATAAGAAAATAAGAAAAAAAATCTTTAAAACATTCAATACCATAAAAATATATAGATTCTATGTTATACAATTGCAAAGATTATAGGCAGTTTATAACTCAAATATTTATTTATTTATTTAGTCAATCTTTAAAAAAAATCTATAATTTTAAAAAAATATTCAAGGTAATTTTTTATTTATTTAAAATAAATAAAATAAGAAAATAAAATAAACTTATTTTAACAATATTATGTATGCACTAGAACAACCTAAAAATTTACATATTATACACATTCTAACAATTTATGATGACACTTTGTGTAATAAAGTTTATCTAATGATAGAATACAAAAAGATAAATTAATTATATTCTTTGGATTTTTACTATATCTAATAAACTTCAAATTGAAGCTAATGTAGCTAATTAACTATCTATTCATCTTAAATGATTGGTATTGAAGTTCTTATCAACAATTTCATATTAAATCCAAAGATTAGAAGATCTTGATGTATCACCTGACCATGAAAAATCTGAATTAATCAAAGTATAAATACAATTACATAAAGAAGAATTAGTGGATAATAAAGGATTAGTATTTAAATTTTTAAAATTTCTATATATAACTATATAAGGGCCTAAGGAGCATTTTAATAAAATCTGCTTAACATTATATTCCAATAATTTTAAAAACCATCCCAATTAGACAACATATTTGTTGTCTAAATCCCAACCTCTAATTTATATATATATATATATATATATATATATAGCAAGCTAGTTTTATTAAACAAAAAGAAATAAATTTTTATTTATTTATTTATAAAGAAAAAATAGAAAATCAAAGGTGTGAATTGATCATAGAAAATTAAATCTATACATTTCAAAAAGACACTTTTTTTCCTTAATATTTGTTAACACTATCCTAGACAAAATAATTATACCACTACATTTTTTATGGATAATTATTTATAATACGAATTTCAAAGTAATCTTAAAACTACAAATATTATATGTAAGAAAGGAAGAATTTTTTTATATCATTAATAAAATTATACTATCATCAAATATTTATTACTTATATTTAAAGAAATAAAAGCATTAAAAAAAAGTAATTTCCGAAACATACAAACATTTTCAATACAATACAATAGGTTTTAAAATAGAATAGTCATAAGATATTTTTTGGGTAGACACAGAATGGGTTAAAACTGTTAGCACAAGACAAAATGCTGAATACCAATTCCAGAAGTTGCTTAAAGAAGTATTTTTTCAAACAACAATCTGATGAAATACTGTACAGTACTAGAACAAAATAAGTGGCATAGTTGGTGCCGATATACTGAATTGGTAGTACCTAAGTTCTAGGTAGTTAATAGAATGGTTGACCTTGCATAAAAATGTTGAGGATTTGGAACTAAAAATCTCTTTTCATAGAATGTTTGCTTTCTCCTCTAGTCACTGTAAATTAGAAGATAAAAATATTTGGAGATCAAAAATTCATTACACGCATGTATTTGATATAGAATATACATTATTAGAAATATACAAATACACATTAGATATTAAATGTAGTAGACGGTTTGTAAATCCTAAGAAAATGTAACCTATATATATATGGATATACGTATAATAATTTTAAAGTACTATATATTTGCAGTAAATGTATATCGCGAAATGAAACAACATTCGGGAATGACACTGATAACTGGAGTTCAAAATTGATCATGAGATGGAAAAAGACATTTATAACATGTAAATACATTTCGCAACATAGATAATTAAAAATTCTAGCAAAATGGTATTTAATTTACATACGAGACTACACACTCCACATACACGAAATGAATGCAATACTATCCATGGGACAACAAAACGTACTTCCCAACCGATTGAAACGTTGTACACAGGAAGACAACATTGTCAAAAAGAGTACATCAATTTTTCAACTCGGAATACAAAAGCGACAGGCACTAATAATTTGTGCATGTCCACTCTGGTAAAGATGTAAGCGTGAGTAGGGACGCTATTGGTCTTAAGAACAGCGAACATTCTAAAGAATCTAAAAATCTAAAAATTTAGGCGTGCCCAGAAGGGAACCTGGGTTACTAAATCAAAAAGAAAACTGCGGCAAATCCTGGGCAAGAGGCTACAGGAAATGAAGGTGGAGGTTTGTGACACACCATAATACCACTTACATCATTGAAACCTAGCTGTAAGAATCCACATCAATCCCTTCTCAACAACAATACATCAACTCATGCACATCTGTCCAGAGGAAAAAAATGCAACGTCGAAGACCCCGAGGCAGACAATTATCTTTTCTTTCCGAAACGCTAGTCCCAGAGCAGGGCGAAGACTCATTGATAAAATTCTTCATTGTCTGGCTATGCAAACCTAGCCGCTGCCGCCCGAGTACGCCTTCCCCAAAAGCAAGATCTGCAACTGATCGTATCCCGACAACACTCCAGCTCCTGCCACCGCACGCAATATGTTCGCACCCGCACCCTTGAACAACGACTTCGTTCCCTCCTTCGCCACGATCTGCCTGAACGCGTCCATCGATCCGTTGTACTTCACTGCCTCTCCCGATGTCATCATCATCCTACGCCTCACCGTGTCGATCGGGTACGAAGCCAGGCCTGCTCCGATCGTGATTCCCCATCCCAACATGAAACTCGCCAAAAAGTTGCCCTGCGCATTCCACACAACAACACACCCACTCCCTCGTCAGTCCCGTCTCCCATCACCACACCAAGTCCCCCACACCCCCTCCTTTTCATTCCATCCTACCATTCTCCCATCCTACATTCCCCTCCCCTCTCCTCCCCTCCCCTCATCCAACCAATCCATACCTCCAGGCTGCCCACCAGCACCACCGGCTTCAACGAATCGTAGATTCCGAAGTACAGGCCCCTGTACACGATGATGCCCGCGCACGATATCATGAACCCTCTGTACAGCCCCGCAATTCCGTCCGTCGCCAGCGTCTTCTTGTACACGTCCACCAGCCCGTTGAACTGCCTCTCACCTCCTCCCTTCTTCGACGACTTCGCGTCGTTCGCCAGCCGCGTCCGCGCGTAGTCCAAAGAGTACACGAACAGCAGCGACGACGCTCCCGCCGCACCTCCCGACGCCAAGTTACCCGCGAACCACTTCCAGTATCCGTCCTTGTCCTTCTTGTACCCGAACAGCGACTTGAAGTAATCCTTGAACGCGAAGTTCAGCGCCTGCGTCGGAAAGTATCTGATCACGTTCGCCGTGTTTCCCCTCCACAACGACATCACTCCCTCGTCCTTGATCGTCCGCCCGAAGCACTCGCCGATCCCCTTGTATGGATGCGACAGACGCCCCGACTTCAACATCTCGTCCTGGTTCTGGATCAGCAGCTTCACCCGCTCGATGGGCGCCGCCGCCGTCTTCGACACCGCGGCCGACACACCTCCCATCAGAAAGTCCGTCATGAACGCAGTGAATGTCTTCTCGCTCGCGGCCGGCACGAACACATCCTGAGACATGTTCCTTGCACCCATCACGTTCATCGGGCACATAGCGCCGAACCCGCAAGGGCTGCTGTACTCCGGAGCAGAGTACATCGGCCGGCTAGGCGCCAACCTGGACGCCAGGTATGAAGATCCACCCATCTTGCTCACCACGGAGGGGCATCGAGGAGTTTCTGCCATTGTTCACAGAAAACCTGATTCCTGCAGGGACGAGGTTCATCTCACGTTAACCAACTCCTAATGTTTGGTCTTCCGCTCTAAATGCGTTCCAGGAATATTTCTTGTCCATTGAATGAAGTTTTAGCCATCTAAATATTTCTCTTGGTTTTTTGAACAATAATTCACGTCAAGCTATGCACAGATCTGTGCTAATCAGTTCACAACTCAACATATATTCTACAATGCCATAGGCAGTGTGAATGGAAGAGGAGAATCAGCAATGTGCACCATAGCTCCTATGTAATCGTGAATACCCTATAATTGCGAGTGCTATATTCTTAGGGAAGTATTCACGATTCAAAAGATACAACCCGCCTCTTTCCCGTTAAAAGATATGCGTGTTTTTAAGCCACATTGCAAGTCAAGCTGACGGTGGCTCTAAGAGAAATCTAAACAAACATAGGCTGCTTATCTGAGCAACTCCACAAATACAATTATCTATTCTTACTCCAGGAGAACTCTAATGGAAATCGAAAAAAAAAAAAAAAAAAGGTGTGTCAAATGCGAACTCGCAACAGTATCAAAATTCGCCATTATAACAAAGCTGCGCGTCACGAAGCCCTAAAAGACTGCTGCTCTCACCAGCGAAGCCGACAGATCTACGTGCTGCTCGCAGACATTATTTACAAGAAAGAGACAATGAATATGTTTAAAAAGAGACAACTAATGCACTAAAAAGACAAGGAGAAGGAGTGAATGAAGTACCAGAAAGCCCTGCGAGGAGGGACTAGAGGCTGGGAGACAGCGATGGAGCACACACAGAAGATCAGTATGCTCTGCAATGCCGTCGCTGGGGTTCAAATGCTTTCACGCCCAGGCCAGGGCAGGAGAAGCCGGGTCGGGCCGGGGCAAGGGCCCGGTTCCAGCCGATGGAACCGATGGGTCCAGCCCTCGTCACTACCTGTCCTCGAAACCTCCCGACGCAATCGACTACCTCGAGGCCTATCAGCCGTTAGATTCATTGTTTCGATCTTGGCCGTTACACGGATTCTCGGGAACGGGCGGGGAACATGTCGGGGCGGGTAGGAAATGGCTCTCGCTGCCCGTCGGGCAGGGGACGTCGGGTCCTGACCACCCTCCCATGGGCACCAGAATTCCCCCAAATTTAAGTACTTCAAGGATCAATATGCTCATTTTGGAATAAAACAAGAGAATTTGAATATTTTAAAAATAAAATTCGTTTCACAATGGCTCCTGCCCTTGAAAATTTGGAGCCTCACAATCCTGATTTCACACAATTGCTAGTAACTAAACATTGTTTACTTTACTGTTCCGGTGTTCAATGTAATGGTAATTCTTGTTTTGAGAAATACAACTTCCCATTTGAATGGTCTTTGACATAACCGAGGTGTAGTTTTTCTTAGTAATTTTGACTTACCAGGTTTGTGGGATGGGATTGAAGCCACCTTTAAATCAACTCAATTCCACATCTTCCATTTGTATTGATTGATCCAAGTGCACAACCTGAGGTCAACTTGGTTCTTGTCATATGTAGTGTTTGTGAACCTCGGCTTTGTTGTACAATGCAAAGTTCTGCTTGATCTGTAATACCATCCATGAACCAGTGACGGCATGTAGTGTGTTTCTTTTGACTCGCACTGTGGACTAGGTACTCTACTCAGGGAATACATGTTAATTAGGTAATATAGCCCTTCAACCTGCCCGCCCGTTCCCATATGCTCCCTCGCTCCTTTCCCAAGCGTTCCCAGACTTAGGATCAGAGGCTAAGATTGAATCTGAGGACCACAGTGATCCGACGGCCACGATGGCGGAGCCAGTCGTTTGAGCTCGGAGGTCTCGAGGCCGCAGTTCTACGAGGGGGTCCAGCAGAAAGTTTGCTGCTGCCGAAGTGCTCCCCTGGCGGCCATTTCATGGTGTGAGCTGCTCAGGAACCCTAAATACCGTGTCTTAAGCAAGAGTATATTGTATTCGTACGTTTTCATTTAGTCTCAGGAGCCTTGTGTGGAAGCACTGGTCAAATTCCGTGTTAAAAAAAATTTGCGGCTTCCTTGTTCCCCAAAAGTGTGAATTTAACAACATAAGTATGTGAAAAATATTGACATGGATTTATTTAATTTTTCTCTTTCGTAATGGATACTGTAATCAAGGTACAATATTTGATTTTGTTCTTTACCCATAAATAGTAATTCATTTTATTTTTTCAAGTAGTTTTAGTTCAATACAACGAGAATAACGCTGGAATTTGTTCGTATGTAAGTTACATGTATTATATTCGCTTAAAATGAAACAAGATTAAGCTGTAGATTTAATATCGTTTTCTAAGTTTCATGTGTTGTGTGTCAATTTTTTTTTCCAAGAGAGGTATGTTCAAAGTTCAAAAGATTTCTGTCTCACTTTCGTGTTAATATTTTAAGTGAGATAAAATTGGCAAATTCCAAGGGTTTCACAATATCAAAGCATATTTTAAAACACATCACTAGTGCGTTAATTTCATGTATATATGATTGAATTCCTTCAAATGTAAGTGTTTGGATAGTAAAAATGAAAAGAAGATAACCGTACTGAAACAAAAATGGCATGGTTATCGGTATTTTGAACATGTATTATGAATGATAGTACGTAAGATGTGAAAATATGAACATGCAACCACATATTTTAAAATAATTCATCTTATGGTTATCTGTTCATGTTGTCAAATTATAATATCAAATACTTTGATGATACATTAGAAACACATAAAGATGATCTTCAACTACAAATTGGTATAAGTAAGATTTAATACATGAAAACATTCCATGAAAATAATGTTTTAGTGGTTTAGTTTTTTACATAATCGTTACACAATGGTCAGAAACACAGTTTTAATAAATCTAACAAGGAATGCTGAATTACGAACAGAATCCAGAATCAATGTTACAAACATCATTGTTAAATACAATCCACAAATTTCACACAAGGTCGAACACCCATTATATGTGATATCACAATACTCAAACGAAACCTGCACAACTATTAAAAACTTATAGGTTTGGAAGTTAGGTACAAAATACTGCAACAATCATTGCAATAGTTTATGGAAATTTTTGAAAAATCGCTGTAGTGAAACATAATTATAGTTTAATTTTACAAAACCTTCCTATATAACAAACACAATCAATCGAAGTATGACAAAATCTTTAAATGCAAAGCAGCGCATGTATAAAAAGAAAACCAAAACTGTAAAGATTTCGCACTTCTGTACAAATTCTTTTCACTACACTCTGAACTCTTTCAAAAGAGAATTGGAAGTAGTACTGAAGGGACTAAAAGCTGTGAGAGACTTGACGTTCATTGCAGTAGCAGGCACTAGTAAAATCCTGAATATACAATGACAGCAGAAACTCTTCATCGGCAGGGCCCCTAATTGGAAAGGGATCAAAACCTGGAAGATGCAGGACAGTCTGGTCTTCAATTCCATGCTGCGAATCATTAGGGTCCGTTCTGTTTCGCTCTATACATGAATATAGACTTTCTTAGCCCCGGTCCGGCTTCAATTCTTCACAAGCTCCTTCATTTGGGATTGTAATCAGAATTGACAAACTGGATTGATCAGGATTGACAAATATCATCGTTTGACACATCACTCGAAGTGAAGAGTAGGAGCTCTAGAGGTCGAGACTGACAAAGCTCCTCTTTACATAGGCATAGGCAGAGCCTGGAGGCACTCTGCTTTCATTTCTTCAACGACCTTGCTGTAGAGTTTCTGGTGATTCTACCAAATGATAGAATCTCTGTTTGATGGGTCTTATTTTGGGCAGCAGGTTTCCGGGCATCTTTAACATAGTCTTCGTCTGCACAAGCGCCAACAATCTCGACGACTATTCCATTGGCATTGTCATCATTCTTTCGCTTAGACCTCGTACTCCGGGTAGCTATAGAATAGGTACTGTCATTGTTCTCCTCTTTCACGCGTCTGTGCTTAGATGACCTTAGTGAATGAGCCACATCTGCACCAGCCTCCCTTTTCAAACTCTTGCAAGCTTCCGTGGAAGCGTCAGTTTCTTCTCCGTATTCTTCATCGAGCTTCCGAGGACGAGGTTCGCTCGACGTTGCTGCGACAGGAGAGTTGTTGTCGCCGTCCTCGCTGACCTTGTTCTTCGGCAACGCATCGCTGTCCGAAACATTCCCACCGACACTCCCGTCTTCTACCTCGCTTCCCTCACAGTTATCGCAGCGGAAAATGTGTATCTTAAACCGCTTAGGTTCCACAAGCTCAAATACACAGGCATCCCCATCTACGAGCGAGTGGTCAATCGAAAATCCGCGCCAGCCACCGCTTAGACCTATCTTTTTGGCAAGATACACACACTCCCATTCTAAAAGTTTCTCATCTTCTAAAACAATCGTCTCATCACGATGCGGCAAATACTCTCTGCAAAAGCTGACAGGAAGTCCCAACCAAAAGCCACTGGCGGTGTGTGAATGCAACATGCCCCTCACAAAGCCAGGATTCTTTAAGGCCTTGTAAACCACCTCTGCTGCATCCAAGGCCGCCTGTCGAGTAGATTCAGGCACATCCCGACGACCCGCGAGCTGCCTGTATACTGTTCCACACCGCGCATGCAGTCCTGATCGCGATAAGCCTCGTCGTTGTTTGTGGATCTCAACATCTTCGTGTTCCACCACAGGCTTCCCAGCAAATCGTGGGGATCGCCGCGCCTCCGTGGCGACCTCCTCCGGTGAGAGCGTCTTCCGCCTGACCGACTTCCTCCTCATGGGCTGATTCTTCACAAAACTGTTCGAGAAGTCAAACAACCCAAGCTCCTCCATCCGCCTCTTATTCTCCTCTACCCTCCGCTTCCGAGTTTCCTCATACGGCACTAACTGACCACTTACCACCACCGCCATTTCGCCGACCCACCCCCTCACAAACTAGCCTTCTTCAATCACGGCACCAACCCTCTACTTCACCAACATGCTTTCCCCGACACAGCTATCACAATCCTGAACCATAGCGCGTTGGACAAACCCCACACCACAGTTCAACAGCTTCGACAGAGAGTCGCAAAATGCAAGAAGACAATCTGACCAGGTGCTTCATCTCCCAGGGTGTACACATTATCACCCATGGATGGGAGAGATCTCCCTGTTTAAAATTCAAATTCGCAGATCTAACGGATGAACGAAACTTGCAAGGAATCCTATGTCGAAGAGAACCGTTACTGTTAGTAAAGTGGATCCGCACTTGCCGACAGCAAACAAAATAATTCAATTAATGTACCATGTCATTCTTAAGCACATGCGAAAACTAGCGCCGCTGAGTTGCTTCGCTTGGTTGAAGCATTACCATCAATGCAGGGTTTCTACCACTAGATAAACCTGGCCAGCCCTTCCGAAACTCCCATCGCGGTAATACGTCGTTAGAGATTTGAACTGCTTGGATAAAGCTTCTGACAGAAAAGCTTCCGTGCCGTGGTGAGCTGTCCATGGACACGCATTCGCTTGTTTCTCGCGTCGCACTGCTCTTGCAAGCCATGCAGCATTATAATTTAAATTCGAGAGTCACCATGCCGACGAGTTCGGAAAGGGGAAACCACACTCCCACGAGATTTCGGCAGCGGTACTGGCCAAGATCCAGAGTGCTTTCCTCCTGGCAACATATCCGCTCCAATTTGCAGCCTCGGTTCAACTCGAGGCTCTCTCTCGCTCGCTCGCTCTGCTAAATGTGGTCACCAGCTGTGTCTCGATCCGCAGCCATGGAATCAATCGTACTACTTCCACTACTTCCTCCACTGGAATCACACAACAAGCCTGGAAATGCCACACGACTGTAAGATCTCCGGACGGGGTGTGGCCATGGTGGGGTCAGCGTGATGGTGCGCTTACATTCCAGTGCGTGTGTGGTGCAATATGGGTGCCTCTCAAACCCTAATTTTTTCACTCCCTACACTTGGGTTGCAATTTTGGTGCCCAGGAAATAATCGTTGGAGCCTTTCTGTGTTACTGTGTGTGGTATTCTTGGTGTTGCAAGTGTTTTCGTGTGGTGTGGATTGACACAACATCGGGTTCATGTTGATTTGAGGATTTAGGATTCTGATTTTGATTATTATTTTGAAGGATTTGATAAGAGTAGAGTTACACCATGATTATTATTATTATTATTATTTTATTCGTTGATAATACATCATGTTTCAATTAATGGCTTGGATTTTTGCCACGTTGCATTGTACACCAACAGTTAAGCCGCTTAGAATAAATTGATTTCAATTCATATATATATCTTTCATATAAAACAGCTCAGGGGGGATAAATATACAGGATAAACAACGGAGACAAAACAACTTTTTGATTTGCTGCATGAATTTCTCATTGTTTTCATCAAAAGTGAAATGCTGGAGTTCACAAGGCCTTAACTAAAGGCCTTATGTGTGTGTGTGTTTTTTTTTTTTTTTTTTTTTTTCTTGTTAAAATTTTTGGCAATGATAGCTACAATGGAAGAAAAAGCAAACCTTGACTTTTAAGTAATGCATAGAATTAATGAATGAACACTTTGCAATTATATCAATGTCTAAGTAGCTGCATTTGCCTACAATATTAGCTAGATCAAATGTTTATTTTTTGTAAGAAGTGAGGTAGCATAGGAATATCCTGGCAAGAAATTGAAGATGAGCTTTATCAACTTTTGCTTTGTAGGAGACATCTCCATCAATTTCAAGTGATGTCAATTATTGCAGAGAGAATTTTGTTGTGCTCACCAATGATATTAATATGAATATATACTTATTGGATCCAATACAATGGTTGCAACCTCCAACATGGCTTTTATGGTGCCCTTCTTGTGGAATGTTGAAAGTCTTCTTGCAATGCTACTATGTTTATAGCCATATGATTGTCACCAATGGCATTGAGGTCCGGAGTAGTTAAGACCAATGCCACAATTCGTACCAACACTTCAGATGTAACTCTAATATCTTCATGCAATTGCAACTTGGTTTTGTAGCTAATACTCATGGAGAGTTTTCACATAGTTTGGTGGAACTAAGGTGATATGAGTCTCGTAGAAGTCGAACAAATATGTACACTATAGAATAATTATAATGTCAAGTGATTGGTCTCACTATATAGAATGTTCAATGTTTGAGAAGCTATAAGCAATACTGTTTCCTACAAATTCAAAAGATATGGTTAGATAAATTTGTAGCATTTTCAACAACCATCTTAAATAATTGCTTTGTTAGTTTCTATTATAAAATACATCAAGGAGGTATAAATCAACGGGATAAGTCAAATAAACAAATTGGCCTTCTAATTAGTTGGTTTCTCAATCATCACTATTTTCATCAAAACTTTTGCTTCATTGTTTTTATCAAAACTGAACTTAATCTGTCAATTTACAAGGCATTAATAAAACCAATTTTATAGTACTAATATCAATAGTAAAGTATGTTATAATAAAATAGATATGTTTTAAAACTTGAACTTATTATGTTTTAGTGTTAGAATTTGTATAAATTACAATAATTGGCTAGCTTACATGCAATCAAAATTAGCAAATTTTCTTTTCTCTTTTGAGCTTTCATAACACTATACATCTTTGAAAATTCTTGTTACATCAAACAATATGCACCTTGGCATAGCAGGCACTAAGGTTAGTTTTTATTTGGAGCAAGATTTTGTTGATATAATAAGGCTTGTTTTTATAATCTAAAGTACAATGTAAGGCTTTGAATGAATATTGCTGCAATTTATGAACTTTCAGATTTGATTCTTAAGCTTGATATGATTGTTGCAATTGGTTTGATAAGTGTTTCTTGAAGCATTACATGGGAATCTACTATTTTTGGATTTGAGGCATGTAGTGACTAAACTGTTGGGCTTAAAAGTATGTCTTTTACAAACTACAAAGAAAACTACCACTTAAAAAATAGATCAATCAAGTGTACATCTAGAATGGAGTTTCAAACAAGGCATGCAATTGAAGATAGGTAGTATTAAATGCACAATCCATTATTGATTTTTATAATTATATTAATGATGTTTGTACAAACTGCTGTGCAAGGTACATCAATATCAATATACTTAGCAAATTCTTCAAAGATAGAAGGTCTAATAGGTGGATACTATAAAGATGGCCAAAAAGCTAATCCCAGTACTAGAGCTACAAACACAAGATTGTCTTTTAAATCGTGGGTAATTAGCAAGGAATTAACGAATAAAACACACATTTTGGAATCCTTACAGTTGATTATCTAAGCCTCTCAAGGAGTGAGAGCATAATCAGTCACTGTTTGACCAACTTTTCTTGTTAAGTAAACGTAATGATTTTAGCAGGTTTTCAAATAGAACAAGGTAACCTACTACCTTCTTGATGAAACATGTGTATTATTAGAAAATATTATTTTTACAAAAGTTTTGATTGGTTAGTTATTGGTATTATATATATATATATATATATATTTGTATAATTTATTTATGCATAGTTTAAAAATTTGACTTAAGAACATCCTTAAATGACTTCACAATTTTATTTTTTATTTTTTTATTGTTCCTTGGACAAAATTAAGAATTTATTTGTAAATTTTCCATGATAATGGCAAGGATTCAACTAATATATATATATATATATATATATATATATATAGGATTTAATAAAGTATAAATTTAAAAATAAATAGATTAATATAATATATAATCATAACTTATAAATAGATATTGTAACTTAGTAAATTTAGTATCAAATAAAAATTTATTTAAATTAATTTCTACAAAAAGTATTCATATCTTATTTAATAATAACTCCATGTTTTATAATTTGTGCATATTTGAACTTAACAAAGTCCATATATATATATATATATATATATATATAAGTTTAATTAATTTTTAATTTTTTAAATCTTAATAATTTCAAATACTAATAGCTTCAAAATATATATCTATTAAGAATCATAATATTCAACTAATTTGGAGCTGATATCAAAATTAATACAACTTAAATTTATCAAACATAAATCTAAACTTCATAACATGATTTATGTTTTTTTTAAAATATCTATATATATATATATATATATATATATCTTATTTTTGGTTATACAATCATTACTTATAATTTGAAAAATAATTTTCCAAAATTATTAATATATTTACATGAAATCATTTATAATTTGAAGTAGATTACAATTTAAAATTTAGATATAATCATTTTTGATTAATGTATTTACAAATTTCACTTAAAATCCTTAGATGCAGTTTTCATTTAAATATCTGTAGCAACTGATTGTTATTATCTCTTTATAGAAGGGTGCATAGAATTTTTAATATTTAATTAGCTTAATAAGACCACAATTGTATTATTTATAATTAAAGCTATTAAGACAATGACTTTGTATTTTTATAACAAAAGACTTATAACAAAAGAGTTATATGATGCATTTTATGGCCTATTCTTACTTAATTTTATTTCCAAAGACCAAAAGCTTCTAGAATAAGTAATTTGATTTTCTAAGTAAGAAACGTTAGTCAGGTTTTTTTTCCATGGTTTTGAAAATTAGAGTTCTAAATATAAATAATTTCTAAAAATATTGATTTTTTTAGTCTTATTTAAAATATATAAAATAAAATCTAAGTTTTTGTCTTGAAGATCAATTAAGGTTATTTCTATAATCAATATAAAATTTATTTTGTGTCTAAATTAATTAGAATTTTTTGATGCAAAATCATAGACTAAATGAATTCTAATTTATTTTATTTTCTTATAATATTTAAATAATTTAAGTAAAAAAATAAGAAATTTGATTATAATATATTTATCAATTTTAAAAACTGAATAAAACATAATTATTTTATCAACTTCAACAACACAAATTAAATATTTCTATACATTTGTTTGAAATCATATATATATATATATATATAAATATATATAGACAGAGAGATAGATAGATAGATAGATAGATAGATACGTATACAAATAAAAATGTATATTATTTTTAAAATCAAGTAAATATTCACCTTGAAACTACAAAATATTTTAATAATAAATATTTTTTTTGAAAATATTTTAAGTAAAATTTTAAAGTCTCAAAAAATAAAGAAATTATTCATAATATTATTGAACCAAAAAAATGATTATGTGGTTAAATTAGTCATATTTTCAAGTTGTTGACATATTTATTCTGCCAACTATTATTCCGCATCAAAGCTTACATTTTAGTATTGCACATTAATTATTATTAAATCAATAATTATAAATACAAGATGCTTCTAATCTTCCCAAAATCTTGCTACTCTTACTATAATTTATTTGTATTAAATTTTTAATAATAGTTATTAAAATTAAGTGTATCTTCTATATTATATAAATAAGAAAAATACATTAAAAGTACTGATAAATTTTTTTCATAGAAAAATTTTAATTAAAAAAATATGCTAAATAGGTGGAGCTTACAATAGAATAGCAAAAATTGTGGTTGCATGTGATAGGTGGCAAATGTTAGGGACAACAGCAAAATTGTGGTGACATTAGCATTATCCTAAATATAATATGCGTATGTTTATATTTATGTACATACATTATCTTTTTTTACTAAAAAACATTATATGAATACAAGTACAAAAAAATAAAATCCATGCTTATACCTAATTCAACTTTATTTTATTATTATATATATTATATAAATATGCATGAATGTATTTTTTTATACAACTATGTCCCAATAAATGATATTGGCGACTTTATGTGCAATGTGTTCCATATGATAGACATTTTTCTGTTTCATTTTTTCATTTTACTCTTTCTTGACATATTTAATTTAATCTTATATCTATTTTTTATTTTTTTTCAAAAACTACTTGTAACTAAGGCTCCCTTGATGCAGTAATGCTTACAAAAATCTAGAACGTTTTGTCTTAAAGTGTTTTGAATGTTATTGTTAGTAGTTTTAAAAATCAAATGGTTTTGGTAATTGTTTATGCATTCGTTCATCTTTGTAAATCTTATAGTTGGCTTATTCTCTTAATGGATAAAAAGCATTCCATGTGTGCAACTGAAATCCCTTCGAATTCCTTACAAATGATTTCACAGCTCATGTCCATTACTATTGTCGTGAATCTTTTGTAATTCATTCATTTTATTCAGTACATATAAAAACATAAATCCAGACAAACATACACATTTGCAAAATAGTATTTGTGATACCGCAGAGTAATGATATTTTTTGTTGTATTGGGAAGCCATTAAAAGTATCCAATGCAATATTTCATACATGTATCAAGTTCAGTACAACACATGCGACAGCAAGTCATGTCATCTCAATTACACAATTATTCGAATTCGCAGTTTATATATATATATATATATATATGTATATTCATTTAGATTGAGATAATCCACAAAGAGGTAAAAAATAGCACAACAGAGTCACTTCGACTTCATGTCTTGCATGGGCATAAACGCCCACTCACATTGTGTGTCAAATCCCAAGCACCCACCAACCTCTTCAATAGCTTGATTTGATTGACACAGCCTCACCAAGGAAACACGCGAATGGATGAATGAATATCTTACAAAGTTGAGATGCATCGTCCATGTACATTCATCCATTTTGGAGATGGACAGGTGGGACCTTCGGCGGCACCGCCGCTGCGGGATCCGTGTTTTCAAGAGAGCGCCATCCGCCATCGATTTGCCTGCAGTGTATGATCGCCCCTGCGTCGCAAGTTGCTTGCTCACGCAGTGGGAGCGACGTTTTGAAGTACAAGGTGAGCCCAGGTTGCATTCATATAGCAGGAACTTGTTGTATTGCAGCTGGGTTCTGATTACTGAGGGTTCTGCCAGCTCGTGTGAACTGATCGATAGCATCGACTGGACAAGAGGGCGATTCTGTTTAGGTGGAGAATTCTGTTTGTAAACAAGTGAAGCTCTTTGGTGTTCCTGCGGTCAGGGCGATTGTGTTTTGAGCACCGCAAGCTGTGCAACCTTTCGCAGAATGACACTACGATTGTGTGGGTCATTTGCGTTCAGAGTGATCATCTCTGTGGATGTGTGTTATTTATCATTATCTATCTTTCAGCTTTGTATACGTTAACAACGTGGGACGGATTTGGGCGTGTTGGCGTGCATTGATTCAATTCGAAGCCTGACGGTGCCTAACTGCGGGTGGTGGCGATTCAATCGGGAAAATTCATGGAGACGAAAGCTTGTACTGTGTGCTCGATGAACTGTCTCAAGCTGCACGGGGATGAAGATGAGGATGCCGATCGAAACAAACGGATGCTGGATTCTTCTCGTGGGAGAAAGAAGGACGCAGCATCCCATTTGCTCCCATCATTTTTAAAGAAGATGACAGAGGTCGCTATTAAATCTAAGCTGGTAAAAGACGTCCTTGTTCAATCAGTTTTTGAGCGAGATCACTAATTCTCAAGGTTTTTGTATTGATTCCCTTGATCGGTGTGCTATGCTAATCAGCAAATGCCAGTTTCGTTCGTGAGGAACTCGGTCACACGAATCGGCAAAACAATCATACTGGAAGGACCAAGCACAAATAAGTGGAGCGTTGAGGTTTGGCCCGGCTCAGTTCAGAAAAGGAGCTTAGAATTCAGAGATGGCTGGCAGAAGTTTGTGAAGGATCATAACCTGCAGATAGGGGACCAATTATGCTTCACACTTACATCGGACTCTCATTTCCAAGTTATGGTATGCAACTGTTACGTTAGGGAAAATTGGTCAAAAATTGGTTAGTTTGTATTTGAAAATTCCTGCTTTGAAGACAGTTGATACCGAACACGTGTTATTGATCTGTGATCACTGCGTAACTTTCAGGTCTACGATGAGAGTGGGTCTCAGAAAGCAAGCGCCATGGATGCAATAAACTCGACTGTTACAATCAAACATGAGCCGAAGCATCTGTCGAAAGTCAGATCTGATGTTCGAACCAAGGGGCCTGAGGCGAGGCTAAAGCAGAAGGTGACGAAGAGAATTCGGATTAAGAGTGCCGTGAAGCCGACAGTCGTCGTGGTACATTCGAGCGACTCAGAGCTTGGGAACAGTGAACCACCAGAAAAGGATGAGAATTTAAAGGAAATAATTAGCAAAGAGAAAATACAAGACTGCCCTGGAATGGACGGAAGCCTTGCTGATCCAAAGCCACTGCTTGCCCCACATATTCTACAGGGGGGGCATGTCGTCTCTCAGCGGCGTTCAGTAACTCCAGCAGAGAAAGAGAGAGCTCTGAATGCCGCTAGAGACTTGGCCGACACCCTTACAAATCCAAAGCTTGTGATGGTAATGACAAAAGCTTATGTATATAAAGGATTTTGGATGGTAAGAGCTTAACTCCAAACCGCTCGTGATGGTTTTGATAGAAGATTAGAGCTGGACCGAGAAGTGATGATGTGACTGTTGGATCTTCTGATAGATCAGTTTGACGTAACGCAGGTACTCAATAAGGTCTTCTCGAATGCACACATGCCACACGAGTCGAGAGAAGTAACTCTGTGCAACAAAGCTGGACACTCATGGCCTGTGAAATGGCTGTTCAAAACGACAACGAACTCGTCGGGCTTCAGTGGTGGCTGGAGAGGATTCGCCCTAGATAACCGCTTGGAAGAATCGGATGTGTGCGTATTTGAAATGGTGGATGAAAAATATTTTGTTATACTAGTTCACTTGTTCCGAGCCATAGGGCAGCCGAGCGAAGATGCAGGCGATTATCGCCCATCTCCTGGTAGGGGTCGCAATGCCAATCGGAGAAAACGCAAGGCAATAGATTCTCCCCTTGACACTAGATGTACGAAGATAAAACTCTTCCACTCTGGAGATTTGAAGTCCCCGGCTGGATGCTCTAGGGCAAAATATCTCTACCATACCCAGTCGCAGGAGGCAGAGAACTTGGCTCAAATGGTTGGCTGTTCACAAAAACAGCAGAAAGATACTTGTACAGCTAGCCACGGCAAAGTTCTGCACCAAGACGAAGGAAAAGAGGTCACTTCCACAGCAATTACTTCCTCATGTGATACAGACTTTACATCTGATAATCCATCTTCAGAAGCGTTGGAGACTTTTGAACGGAGAACAGCCCTTCAAATCCGCCCATTACATGCGTTTCAATTTCCACGAAGAAAGACCGGATCTTTTCGAGATTATCTCATGGATCTCGGAAAAGAGTTGGTGGGTCAACAAGCTGCTATGGCCGCGCCCAAACGGTCCTCACCTCCAGCTTCACGAAAAACCCAGATATCTCCGTCTTTGGAAGTTTGAAATGGTAAAAACCGCAGATTATAACCTCTCATGTCTCCGAGAACTGGTTGTCGCCCAAGTGATAGCACCTTCATTTCTGGAGCACCGCCTGGTATGCAACTCTGCGCAAGCATCTTCAAATTTAGAGCTACTGGAGTGGCAGGGACGAAGTGTATTTAAGTACCCGACGTATATTTCATTAGCTGTGCATCTCTGTTCAGTATTACATAAACAACGACACAGCTATCGTCTGCAGCAAATCATTTTGATGAATGGTAGATTACTATCTTTTGGAACACCTCTAGGCGCACCTACTCTGTCACATCTCAGGCTCTTGTCAGACTGGTGACACGTTCTTTTTTACAGTTCTTCTCATATCTTTTACCATGGGAAACAACAGAACGCTTGAACAGAACGCTCCGGAGACAATCTGGTGCACAGCGCTAAACAATCGGTCTACGTCTATTTCTCGAACGCATTTATTTATGATCGTAAGTAGCTGCTGCAGGAGGCTCGCTCAGATTGTATAAACCTATCCTAATCCACCTTTACTTTATTTAAAACTTGCGTTTTGAGCACTTAGTCACCGAACGAATCAGTCCTCGACTTATCAATTGATCGTCTTACAGAAATAATCCTTGTGTTCTCCACATAGAAACTGACAGAATCCTCATATCAAAAGACAGTGAAGGTGGATTACAAAGTTTTTACAGAAATAGAAGACACCAATTCAAAGATTCCCGACACACAGAATTAATAAATATTGCTTTGCTGGCAGAAATGAATGTCCTGTCAAAACCCTGATCAACACCGCAGTTGCTCACTATACCCAATACAACACTATTCATTCATAGGCTGTGATGATCAAAATCGTATTTCTGCAGAAATTGTAGCGAAAGTAGTTATAACTCAAATAACACCTCAAAATCTCTTCCATTACGCAAATCATTGTTCCTTCGGATGTATCAAAGCTAGTCGATTGAGTGGATGGTACATACTGGCACTGAACCTGTGCATCGCTTAGACTATATCGTTTAGACTACTTACAATCCAGGAATAGAGCTGCAGGAGCGACACATTACTGATACAGGTCTTACAGTATGGTACAACGCTACAATCACAGTGAACTGCCATGTTTTGAAACATGGGATTCTCAGTCTTCGCTCTGCCCTTTGACGGCGTCCAAAACTCCAATGAATGGATTGCCTAGAAATTGTGTAATATGCCACGAGTGCGATTGCAGCTTCAACACTGCTTACCTTCCGCCGCGTAAATAATCTGCAGCTTGTTTTGATTACTGTATCAGCAACTGCAAACATATGACGCAAGGAAATACTTGTTCGGCAGCATTTCTGGAGAGAGGTAACAGCGTCCCTCAAAGAAGGTTCGCTTTCAGCCTATGCTCATTCCCTCGAAGGAAGCGACATTAGCGTAAGTGGTTGGAGATGTCACTCTCGACATCTTCGTTGATAAACAATGGCGACGTTCAGCTATCTGTTTCCATTTGTGAAGCATTCTCCGCCTGCTCTTTCAAATAATTTTGACTCTGCGAAAAGTACTGATTCGGGTGGTTTATACCATCACATTGGCAGTTATGAGAACCTTCGAATGTTGCTGCGCACGCTAACTGATAATGCCGACCTCTTGTTTTTTCCATGACCTCATCAATCGTCTTTGGTTCCAAACGCATCCCCGAGAGTGCCGCATGCAAATTCTCAGCACTGAAATGGCGGAAGGGGCAACCGTGATGATCTCCAACTCCGGGATTCGACATAATAATGTACATGCACGAGTAAGGGGTGTAATCCGTGCGTTTACCCTCTTTACCGTAATTATGGCGCACATTGTAAGCATACTCCTTATCAAATTTCTCAGCTGGCATCCTCGGCGCAAACGCCCCTCTCCAAAAAGCTAAAGCGTCTTCGAGCTTCAACCCAATTCCCTTCAAGAAGAGCCCCAGCTGCTGACGACCACCATGACGAAGATGGTGATCCTCCTGGAGCTTAAGGTAGAGATGTCGCATGCATAACGGGAAAGACCGCATGGCCAAACCATCCAAATCTTGAAGCGCCACGCTGCTACCCGAGACTGATTTTGAGTAGTCCGGAGCCAAGTACCGCTTGCTCAATGCTTCCAAAATTGGACTAAGCCGATCCTCCTCTTGAGCAGCGAACATCGCCGTCCAGTTACGATTGGTGAGAATTAAAGATTGAGACAACATGGAACGGAAGTGGTTACTAACGATGGTCACCAGCTGGTCCCTAGGCACAAATGCATGGCCCTGATGGACATATACCCTTCGAGTGGCAACAAGGTCGAGAACTTCTTCGAAAGGGACCTTGTAGAAATTCGTCTCGCCGATCAAACTCGCTGATTGGTTACTGGATCGCATCACTTGCGCCAGCTTCTCCTTCATGGCCTCAAACTCCCCAGAACTAATACTCTTGTAAGGTAGCTTGTGATCCTCAATGAAGGCTTTCTGAGACTCCGGGCTCTCAGCCTTGAATCGAAACCGGAAGAGCGCAGTCTCCATCTCCATGAACCACCTGCGCAGCTCTTCGGTACGACAATGCACTAACCTCAGCACGAAATGCGAAATAACATCCTTCTGCTGCTGCGCATCTGAATGGACCGTTCGCATGTGCTTCTTCCACAAATCCGACACTGCAGAATCCACCTCCTCCGCACGCTTACCACGAGACCGGTTCTCTTCAATAGCAATCAGAACGCGCAAACGGTCCAGCGCGTACTGCTCAAAATCTTCCAACGATACATCCACGTCCGGTGCAACCAGGTACATCGACACTCTACTCCCACCCCCTCCAACTCCATATGCCTTCACCGCGCCATTCAACTTCACATGTGATGCCCTACTCCTAAACTCCATCTTCGGATAATCTCTGCGACGAAAATTCAGAAACCTAATAATTCATAGACACTCACATGAAACCCTAGTTACTTCGAACACTAGCTACAAATCTCTCGAACCCTCGAACTAAACCCTATCTGCCATAGCTGCCACACTACACCCTCTCCGACTCCCGACAACTGAAACGACGTGACACTCACAGAACAATCCACACACGATTTTAAGAAGATTAACCGCAGAAACGGAAAGCCAGAGAATGATCGATACTCGGAAAAACGAAGCGTGGTGATCTCGAGGAAGAACGAGATGAAAATTGGGCGGGAGTTTTGAGCGCACTGGCGAGAAAGCTTATACCCATTACCGTTGCACCCTTGTGGTCCACGGACAGTAAACCTTTAACAAATGGCTGGCAGTCGTTATATATTAGTATTTTGTTGTTTTGCACATGAGAACCACCAGTAAAGTTCCCATCTTTGATATTCAATTGATCTTTTCCTTCACTAATTCAACCTCATGAACTTTAAATAGTACCATGAAAACTTTATTTTTATTACAACCAAAGGGGACTGTTGCACTGTGCATTAAATGTTTTATATTAAAGCATTATTCAGAAGGATCGGTTGATTTTTATGTTGATTTTCGATAAAGTGTGTTCAACAAAGTATTCCCGTTGATGGTCATTGAGATTAAAGTAATACTATTCTTTAAACGTTGTCAATTCCACGTTTTGAGTGAATACTAATTATAATTCTATCCACCTTCGCACTTGAAAACAAAGAACATAGGTTTTTATAGCGCTCTATTTTGGTGAAATTCTTACGTTTGAATTTTTATACAGACGGATACTATGGCATGCATTGTATCTTTTTTTACCCAAGTAGGAATGATATACCAATTAAAACTAGATGTTGCACAGTATTTTTTCTGTTACAAATGAATAGTAAACGGAAACATTCGAAATAACAATTATTGGCTTACTCAATCTCTCTCACACATATTTATTTATTTAAATAATATCACATATTCATTATATAATATCATCGAAATAACTACTGTGAATAAATTATGATGTGTATTTACGTATGCATGTATTGAATTCTAATGTCTTAGAATAAAAACATACACATTAAGAACAAAATTATTGTATTTTAATTTCGTATCATTATTATTTATCTCATAATTTCATTTTACAATCATATGATTACTTTGTAGTACAACAATGGTAGAAATAAATATGTTACAATGAAAATTATTTTAGATAATTCAAAGCTCCAATTTTTGCATACTAATATGATTATTCTTTTTATTTACAAGTATTCATTTTTTATTCAAGTTTTTTTTTAGATATTACTTAGAGTAATCCATAATTCTATATGATATGGTGACATAATGGAGCAATAAGGGAGTTTTTGTTTGTATTTTTGTTTGAGTTTTTGTTTTGTTTTGTTTTTTTCTTTCCAACAATTAAAAAAAAATCATATAGATATATATAAACTTAGAGTGTACAATTTTAAATGTTTTTTTGAAATATATATAGATATCCCAGTATTCCTTTTTTTTTATTTATAACACAAAAATGTGAGATTCTTATATTTTAAAAACCACAATACTTTAAAAACCTTTTTTTAAGAATATTTAAAGAAAGACTAAAAGTACAAGAGGTATAAGATATTAGCTCAGGAATAAGTATTTATATAAGTATAGAAACATAAAAACTTTAGATATGTCCAAAAAATTGTATTGATTTGACTAAGAAATTTAATATATAATTCATTTTTTTATTTTTTAATAACCAAGTCATGTAGAAGTTTTTGGAAGCTTACTTCCACTTTTGAAGTATCTAAGAATTTTAATTTAAAAGAATAAAACATAAATAAACCTATAAATATATTTAAATAATTTTTAAACCATAAAGGAGTATTATTATTTTTGTTATTGTTTTTGTTGTTGTTGTTGTTTGTTTTTTGTTTTGTTTTGTTTTGTTTTTTTTTTTGATTTTTTTGTTAAATTTCAAACAATAATTTTTTATAAATTTGTAAATCATGTTAAAGACTCGAAAACTTTTTCCCAATAAATTTATAAAATTGTGAAGGTAGTTTTTAAACAATTTTTTCAATCCTTTGTACTCCTATATCATGGTTAAAATTGTAATATGTCTAAGGAATCACTCATTGTCTAGCAACTTCAATAAAGAGCCTTAATAACATAATTTGTTTATAATTTTAAAAATTAAAGGTTTTTTTTTGAAGAAATTCTTGTAGTGTGTGTTGTCTTTTAATTTTTATTCATTGATCAAATATATTTGTAGTCATTAATAGTGGTTTAAAATTTATCCTTTTAATTTGTTAAAACAAAGATTTTTCTTAACAAAAACTTTTTGAAATTCTTATATTAAAAATATACTTGCAAGTTATGTTTATATTTATAATACAATAGAATCTTTGAATAAATGAGTGGATTTTCTTAAAATATATTTTTTTGTAAAATACTATTATTATAGATATATAGTTAAATTTTACAATAATATTTTTCTATAATCAATATTTTAGAAACTTAAATATGTTTATATTGATATTTAAAGAGAAAAGTAATATAAGAAATAAATAAAAATATTTATCACATATCAATATTACGTGTGTATATATATATATATATATATATATATATATATATATATATATATATATATATATATATCTGTGTGTGTGTGTGTGTGTGTAAAATAATTTAAAAATAATCTAATTATATGGAATTAAATCAATTTTTGATAAAAATATAGTTTTTCACATAGTATATGAGCATTGTTTTTATGGTTTTAAAAATATCAGATATGTATATTTTTTGTTTTTTTTGTTTTTTTATTATAATATTATAATAAAATATTATTAATCATAGGACTACAAAATACTAAAATATTTTTTAAAAATATCAATTTTTACATATTATAATGTCTTGTTTCTATTATAAATTTCAAAACAAAAAAAGTTATATTCAAATTATTTAATTGATTTTGATTTTAAATTCTAATTTATATTTCAGTTGAATTATATTATTTAATATTATTAGTAATAGATACACATATTTATGACTATTTTGTCTAATTTCAAATATCAATTATATATATATATATATATATATATATATTTAATTATTTCTTTCCTTCTTTAAAAAATTAACATATAGTTGTTAAAAGAGTGTTTAGATATATACATAACTCTTATTAGACATTATGTATTTGATAAGTATGTAAAAGATTGACACTAGGTGACCACCAGTTGATAACTTATTGATGCTATAAGTTGGTATTAAGTTATTCTTAATATGCTTGTACTATAAAGTCTTTATCATTAAAATACAGATTTATACTATAAGAGCTCAAAGTCAAGACTCACTTCGTGTGGTTAGTTTTCTTGAATCCTCTTAAGTTAGGTAGTAAATTTATTTTGTATAAGTATTATTAAGCTTCTTTTTTAACAATATAATTCTTCATGTTTTTCACATGGTATAAAAGCTTGACACTTTAGGTTGTCTTTTGTAGATCAACTAAATTGAGTGAGGTTGTTTGCAAGATATGGTCTTTTGCTCATCTTTAGAAAGTTTTATTTTTGAAAACTAATTCAAGAAGAAGTTCATTATCCAAAGTATAAAAATCTATGGTAGCTTATCATAATACAATAAGAAAATTATTGTTTATATTTGAAAGCAAAAACTTAAGCTTGGAGCTTTATTATAACAACCCTCAAAGATCTTGGAATTGTAGCAGATGCTACTAGAAATAAAAGTCTTTAGAATTTAGAAAAATGTTAAAGTATTGAGACAACATTTGGAAGAAATATCCAAATCACAGGAAAATATACCAAGAATACAAAGTTTGGCAAGAATATGTACAAATAGAAACAAACGTTATCAACAATTGTAAGGCTTAGCTCCAAAGACTAGTAAGATCTAAGAATAGTAGTAAAGAACTTTAAGAATTCAAATAAAAAATACCAAAGTCAACTCTAAACAAACTAGAGAGACAAAAGACTTCATAAAGTTTTGAGATTATTTATTATAATTATTTTTTTAGATATCATTGACTCTAAATGGCTATACTTTTTTAATTTTGAGAGTGTAACCAATTTCCTTATTGAATTGAAACAATGTTTTAGTAAACTAATTGTAAATTTAGTTTGTAATAGTTTTTTAATTTTTTAGAGCAAGTAAATAATGTAATAAGGAAGTATTATTGCTAGTAGATAGACATCAAGGTTGGAAAAAGATGACAACCAACATTTGAGCAAAATACAAGCTTTTTATTCTAATTTGTGAGTTTGGTTTTTTTAAAATTTTATATGCTTCTTTTTAATTAGTAATTCAAAATATTTGTAATTTTTAATGTAAGATCAATAATTTTATTAATAATGGTTGAGTTTTTAAAAATATTACATGATTTGATTAGGATTTTATTAAAATTTATTAATGATTTTATTATAATATGTTAAGATTTAATAAATATATAGTTAGAATTTATTTGAAATTTTATTTAAAAATTTCTAGAATTTAATTAGGATTTATTATAATTTATTTAAGATTTAACTAAAATTTTAATTAAATTTATTTAAGATTTTAAAATATTTTTTATTATTTATTTAATAATTTCTTTAAGATTTTTTTATGATTTTTAAAGATTTTTGTATAATTTGATTGAGATTTGACTATGATTTTTGAGGTTTAATTAAATTTTATTTAGGATTTTATCAAAAAATTTAGATTCTTTGTTAATTGTAAAATAGAACTTTACCTTCTTAAGCCAATTGCTCAATGCATTATCAAATAAAAAAATATATAATACAAAAATATGATATGGCCAAGCAACTTGTATCATTTTGTCAGAGTATTAAGGAGTCTTAAAAAATCATTTAGAATACTTGTAATGTCATAAAAAACTCATATTTTAACTAAATTAACATTAAAAATGGTTACAATTCGATTATTACAATAAGAGTCTTACAATAAGAATGCATGATCTACATCAAAGATAGCATTGATAATATGTAATAAGTCTAAGCCAAAATCTCATGCACATAATAATATACAATATTCTCATGATTATAAGAAGGATGCTAAATGCAAATATTAAAGCAAAAAAAGTCATTATGAGAGAGAATTTTGGACTAAAGAGATAGACAAAAAATCAAGGAAGTTGAAAAAGACCTTCTAAAAGTAACAAAAAAATATAAAATTAAAAATAATAAAAGAGATGAATTTATGTTTGTGGCAACATTATCTCTACATATGAGTGATAAAGAATGGTATATTAATTCAAATACTTTTTAGAATATGACATGAAATTGATTTTAGCTTTTAAACTACAACAACCTATCACTTGGTCTTAAGTTTTATGTAAGAAATGATACAAATCAAAGAGAGATGACATCAAGATAAATATGCACCTATAAATCTAATTGAATAAAACTATTACAATATTGGAAAGGATGCAACCTTAAATAGAGCTTGACTTAGTAGAAAAATCCTCAAAATCTTGATCTTGTTCTATCAAATTTCTTTGGCAAATTTATCTTTGCCTCCTTCATACTTACAATAGTAAGACTTTTCATGTTCAATTCTAAAGTTGACGTACTTGTTTCTCTCAATTATACAACTTCTTAGCGTAGACTTTAAACTTTATTTAAACTTCTTCCATAGATGTGAAAATAATATCTCCATGCTTGACATTATTAATATGTGAGATTTTTACTTTAAGAAAGTTGATAAGCTTGTGAAGATTTGCAATAGTTACAAATCTATTTTCACTTTTGTTAAGTATAATATCTTTAATTTTTCTTTCTACATTAATCTATATTACTACAACTTATATCTATATTAATTTTCTAATCTATATAGACAAAATATAGATTAGAATTTAATATTTAATATATATTAGATTTTAATAAATCCACAAGTCAAATTAGAGGAAGGTAATCTACAACCTCTATCATTAAATGAAAATTTCTACAAAAAAAAAAGTAATTCACTTTCTTTAAGAAAAATAATGAATGTCAAAAGATAAAAAATATTAATTAAAAGATGGATAATTTCAAATTTTAAAATATAATAAAAGAAGTGGAGTAATCCACTTACTTTAAAAATAAAATAAAATAAAAAATTAACAGTTTTATTAAAATATTAAGGACATGAATCACAAAGAATCAAATAATTAATATACTCTTATGTCATTGAAAAAGAATAGAAGATCATTCAAAAATGATATAATATTGAGATTAGAATGACTATTATCAAAGACAAAAAAACTAAAGACTCTTAAAAGACATCTACATATAAGAAAAGCATTAACAAGAATGAAGAAGACTTTATTCTTATCTCTATATATTTTGTCTAAGTAAGAGCTAAGTAGCAATGTTCTATAAGACCTCCAACATGGTGTTTAGCTTGTAAGACAAGTTTCCTACATGTGTGCTATATGACAAAGTTGTACTACAAATTGCCAACATATACAACATGTGGCCAACTTGTTGGCTAAATTTCTAATCTAGTAATCAACTTCAAATGCATATAAAGTCAAATACATATAAAGTCAAATTATGAAGCTTCTTTATAAGATAATATAAAATCTACCTACATTCATCGTTTATCTAATACATCTTATCTAAATAATTAAATATGTATGTGATAATAAATATGCATTAGTTTCATAAAATATAAATTATTTTATTTAATAAAATTAATCTTAAAATAAAAAATAAACATCAATATAATGTTTTGGAAAGACTTATCATGATTGACACATGTCCATGGCTCAAAAACAACAAATAATAGTGACTACATTACACAAGCTATGAACTACCTCTTTCTCTTTGTATATATGTAATTTTGACATATATTCTTTCCATCTTTGAATTCTAAGGCAATATTTATGGTTGCTATGACAATTGAAAACTAGCTAAAATTTTAATTTATTTGTACAAACTTGAAGTCTTAGAATTAGATAACATCAATTTTAAAATATCATCCTTTTTAATACCTAGTTAAGAAATTGATTTTTTATAGCCTTCTCTATTTGAATTATTTTTGCTGACAATCTACCTATTCTTATTTACTTAGAAATTATAGAAATTGTAATTCATCCTCTTATTTAGAAATAAATAACATAAGAAACATTAACCTTCCAAATCCTTTCAGAAGTTAGTTAAATTTGGATCTAATATCAACAACCCTTGTTTCGACCTACAACATGTGTACCATTTATTTCCATCACATAGCTGTTCTAGAACATTCCCAAATCCTTTCATGTTTGAAGGCGACCACCATAAAAATAGACAACGAAACGCAAGACACAAAAGTCAAAACTGGAAGGGCACTTTAAAAACAAGCCACGCGATGCAATTTGTCGGACGAGGAATGAAAATCGAGCGCATCGCTGTGCCCAGTGCCACACAAAAGTCAAAAGGCGTTGAGCTACTTTAAAGTAGGCGACTCCAGTCAGTTGTCGGACGAGGGAGCTGGGAGCAACGGCAGCCATGCATGGGCGAGTATATTCGGAGCCGCATGACCAAGGCTCCGATCCCCACGGCAACCTTATCATCCCACCACACAACGATTCTACATTCCTGCGCAATTTGCAGTTTCATACAACGCCAGAAACGAGTCGAGATCAGCGGCAGGAAGATCGCGATGTGGTGTCGATGTCGGCTCATGTTCAGTTGCGCTTGTCTGGTGGACGTTTGTCTGTTCATCGGGTTGAATCAGAGTCCTGAAGGTGTGGCTAACAAAGTCCTTTTTATTTTTTATTTTAATTCCATTTTGGCTAGTCAACCCGTCATTTCAGTGGGCTAAATATGACAAAATCGTTTCTGGCGAGTATATTGGCAGCTCACCATCCTCAGGCTGTGCAGCAGCCTTCGCAGGAAAATGTCTCTTGCAGATTCTCGATTGGATGGATCGCTTCTGCCAGACAGGCAGTCCATCTTTCTCCTCCGAACGGGAAAATCCCCCTCAACAGATCTATCCGTGCAGTAAGTAAAAGGCACCTGGTCTGCAGTCAGGCGTCACGAATCTCTTCGATCTTCCTCGCAGAAGTTAACTTCTCTCGTAAAACTGCCATTTCGAGGGCCATGAGTTTCGGCGTAAGACTGCTAGGGTTGGCCAACTTTGTTGTCGGGAGGCTCTGGATTGTTCCTAAGGGTCAAGTCGTTTCATCGTTCAGCGTGGTTTTCGTCGACAGTCTTTTCAAAGCATTTCGTAATGCAGTCGGGTCGTCTTTGGTGACCTCATCAGCATCGGCGGCATTATTGTGGCAGCCGGTTTGTGGGGCGGAGATGATGATGAAGGTGGTAATGATGGCGGAAAGATGAAGATGAAGGAGTTGGTTCAGTGATGATTCCGCTCTCATTTTGCGCGTTCATTCGACCTTCCCTCTCACGGCTTTGTCTGTTGGTTGGTGATCTTCAAAGTGGGGCAACTTGATGACATATTGCAATTAAGGTGTGGAGAGTGGGTGGCTGAGTGGGTGGTCATTGTTGGTGGGACGCGTATGTGGGCGTGCTGATTGAGGTGGCGGAGTGGATTGGGGAATGGTTGGTTCTTGCGGTTGCTCTGATTCCTTCCCCGCAGTGATTGTTTTAGGGGACATGACCGGAGCGTAGGGACGGACCGTGGCAGGGTATACTGGCATAACTCATTGAGATCAATATGTGTAGGGTATGAGTGGGTTTTTGCTCCATTATTGATACTTTCGACAAATTTGCTCGACATTACTCAGGGCTGACGAGGTGTAGGTGCGTGTGGATTTGGATTCTATCGCAGTCAGCATATGGGAGCTTCTTCAATAGATGATGCTTGTGGATCTTGTGCATGGTCGAAAGGGAGACCTGGAAAGAACGAGAAGATTAGTCCGCAAGCGAAGGGCTGTTAGGAGGTGACATCATTGACAGGTTTCAGGGTTGAACGTTACTTTTGAGCGATAACTTTGGTGATTGTTGCTGTTGGCCATCCTTGAGCTCTCATCAGAGACACCGCTTCGTGACTAGACCAAGTCAGCTTTCATTGCCAGGTGCCGACCGATTATAGAATTTGCACACCCGATGATGTAGGTGCACCTTGACAGAATTGTTTCTGTACAACCGTGATCCAGGAAGTGCTCTGATTGAGCTAGCCCATGGAGTCTGTCAACATTCCAACAGGTACATCTTTGCCATTCATTCGACATCGTTGCTTCGTTCTATTTCCACACTGGATCTTCCTCCCATCGCGGGCCAAGCATCTCACCTTACGGTCGTTGTCACCATACTCCGCAAGAAATGTTCACATCATGAGAATTCAAGACAGTATAATTTCATGGCCTTATTTGACGCAAGGTGCTCAATGAGAGTTTATAATCGTAATAGTTTAGCTGAAACAAACGAATGGGAACAATCTAGTGGATGGTGTTTGAGGTGATATGGGAATTTCCGCTCTAAGGTCCACAAGCATCCTAGAGCGTGTTGTTCGAGAGAGGACTTGATTTTTTAAATGCTTTTTGTATTTGATCTGCAGCTGAAGATGGTACTGTGCGACCATGGCTTAGGAAGTTTCGCACTGACAACCATCAACGACTGAATGGACTCAATCTAGACTTCAACGGATATACGCAATTCCCGAATATGTGAGTCATGAAGCAATTTTTAACACTGACATGTGCACTTGCATCGAAACTTGTTCATGCTCTTAATTTGAGTGTTTGTGGATTTTTCGTCCTTGCTGATACTCTTCATCATGTCCTGATTTCGCCAAGAATCATTTATACACATAACCGTGCAGTCAGATTTAGTTATGTCAAGTTATCTAGACCTTACATCTTATCCATCTAGTTAATCAGAAGAATTCGAGAGATTTGGATGCTGCGGCAGCTTGAAATTCGTTTGTTATCAAGTAGCAGTAACTGCTTGAATTTGACACATGTTCCTGCTTTGAGTTTTTATTTTTATTTTTATTTTTTTTGTAGAACTTTGTGATTGACTTCGGTCGAGGATTGCATGAAGCATCGAAACATCATCCTGAATGGATCAAGAAGGTTGTATTTAACAAGGATCGTACGCACTTTGGAGAAGACCCTCACCGGCATAATGTTCTTGGCGAAGAGCAGATTGCTGTGGCTAGTTATAGGACTATTTTTTCTAGCTTCGGTGTTGGGCTTACCGGCACCTGTTGTGGCCGCTCGACTGTTGGCGGATGCTCCTACCATTGTGCAGGATCCCAATGAAGGAGATGTAGAGTCGTCGAAGTCGTCTGCCTTCAATCGTGTAGGGATTTACGTAGTGGGATTTGGATGTGCGGTGTTATTAATTGCGACCATCTCGGTGGTTGCGGTCTTATATTTGCGTCACAAGAGGAAAATGACAACGGTGAGTCCGTGGAGGCAAGGCATGAGTGGTCAGCTTCAGAGAGAGCCTGAAATCATCGTGCCATTGTTGGAGAGGGAAGCCTTGGAGGTCGCATGCGAGGACTTCAGCAATATTATCGGGTCTTCTCCTGATTGTGTTGTCTACAAAGGAACGCTTCCTGACGGAACCGAGATTGCTGCCACAAGCATACAGATGTCAGCTGCAAATTGGCCTCCTCACTATGAGTTGTCGTTTCGGAAGAAAGTCAAAGCGCTAGCAAGAATGAAGCACCCTCATTTAGTCAACTTCATCGGGTACTGTACAAAAGACGATCCCTGGACGCGTATCTTCGTCTTCGAGTATGCTAGCAACGGATCTCTCTACGACCACCTGCACAACAAGGAAAGCGAGCATTTGGGCTGGACCGCACGGATGCGCCTTGTGGTTGGCGCTGCGATTGGGTTGAAATACATGCATCATGAGCTTGTGCCGCCTGTACACCACTCGAACTTCAGTGCGGAGTCCGTCCTCTTGACCGACGATTACGCTGCCAAAGTCTCAACTTTCGGAGTGACGGGGGTGCCGATGATGAGAAACGATTCACAGAAATCCAGTTGGTTTGCGGGGAAGACGTCTGGGCATGAGAATGGTGCATCCATAGACCATCTCGACCCTGACTTCGAAAACGACATCTACAGCTTCGGTGTTTTCTTGCTGGAGGTCATCACAGGCCGGCCGCCGGAGAGTGAGGGTGCACCACCTCTTGTTGAGTGGGCGAGGGAGTATCTGAGCGACCCCAAGATGATGTGGTACATGGTTGATCCAACTTTGAAACCTTACAACCACGATGAGCTCGTTGCGGTTTGCAAGGTTGCCTCGATGTGTCTCTCGACGGAGTCGCCGAGGCCATCCCTCCTTCGCATTTGCGACATGCTTACAGATAATCTGAAGCTCAGTCCTGACGTTGTGGCTGCGAAGTCACCTGCCGCATTGTGGGCTCAGCTTGAGCTTCATGATGACAGCTCTTCAGAGGTATCAACTTGAGAACCGATTCTAAGATTACAACAGAGTGGTCTCGTTTGCCTTGTAGGATATGGGGTGTTCTGCCAATTATCAGAATGCGTCGAGTCTTCGCAGTCTTTTCCGCAATACATTCTATCGAATAGGTACCATATGGTATTTTTTTTTTTTTTTTTTTTTTTTTTGAGTAGATTGCAGGACAACATAGGAAGGGGATAATGAAAGAAGACCGAAATGAAGTGCGTTTTCTTCTAATCTCCCCTCATCAGTTCCTGATGTATCATAGACTGTTCCAGTTTCACGGCAGTTTCGTCGAGTCAAGAAAATACACCAGGTTTGAATCATTTGTAGTACCATATCTAGCCATGATTGTGCGTACAGAGAAGTGGGGCCGTCTCGACGCAAATGCTTTGTCGTGGGCGACCACTCATCGTCTCGAAGACTGTACACTCCATGGTTTCTGGCATCAGTCTTAACAGTGTTTAGGTGTTCATGCACGGCCATGCATTTGTTTTATACAGTCACCCAAGCAAACACAAAACATTTCGCTACCAAGTGAAGGAAGCGCAACTTCGCAAAGGAAGTGTAAATGTGTGTGCGCCTCAACATGTACATATAAACGTATGTATACATATATATATGGTCTGGTAGCTAATCATTGTGGGTAAATGTATTCCATTTGTATTTTAGAACTTGAAATTCAACATTTTTTTGCTTCAATGTGGACACATGTTTTGTGGACATTTTGTTTATTGAAAATCTGAGTCAATAGACGTACAGGAAGTAGGTAAAATCATTATCAACAAATGTGGCAATTACTAATGTAGGTATGCAAGTAAGCATACTATGAAATAGTGACTATTCTTATGTGAATTCTCAAGCGTTTATAAGTATGGAAAATTTAAAAGAAGGGACATCACCAAGTACAACTTTTTATTCAACTCCAATCTCTCAATCATCCAACCTAAGCATCTTAGGATTAGGTTTTCAAATACTTTATCCAATGGTTTTTCTCTTTTTTGGATTTTATCATTTTTTGAACAACAAGATCCTATATTGAACAACTTGGATGTGTTTTTGGAAAAAAATATTAATCTATGTATGGAGAATATAATACAACATATGTAATAACCAACTAAATTTGTATTTCACAGCAAAGATATGAATTTGTGTTAACATATGTATCACAAATTTGATAATTAGCAACCTATGTTAAGTGGGACAATAATGCCCTCATCTATCAATTTCTTTACAAGTTATAACATAATGTGAAGAAATTATTGCTCAACTTGTTTGATCCTCAAACTTTGAGGTAAGCTATTGATTTTGCCAACAAATGCAACAACCTACTTTTAAAACTTTGATAAAAAATGTGTATATTAGCACTTCAATGCTTTTATATTTTTGTTACAAATATTTCTATCAATCAAAATATTCAATCAAACATAGAAGACATACAAATTGATGTTGTATATATTAAATGCTTCACAATATTAAAAAAAAAATCAATCAATAAGAAATTCCTTGTCTACATTATTCAGAATTAAAATATACTCTACAATATTATTATAAGGAGTTGCAAAATCAAAAGACCTAGGAAATAATTTGAAAATAAAATATATAGAAAAACAAGTTTAGACTATATATCAAGATAGAGACTATATATTTTATCTATTCTATTTGAGGATATCTTATAGTTTTGAATTTTTTTAACTTTATCTAAAAAATAAAAATAAAGAAAAATAAAAATAAAATATTATGTTTAAAACAATTAATATTTTATTTGTGGAAGCTAAAACATTTATACAAGTTGCAAAAGAAAGAAATATATATTTTTATTTATTTATGTAGGATTGAATCTTTATTTAGGTAGAAGTTGGAAAAGAATCTCAAAGCAATATTAGAAATATTAAGATATACTAATTTACAACTTGTTGCAACATCAATTTTTTGTTTTAAAGAAATATATTAATAAAAATCCTCCAAAGAGTTTTATTTAACATCCAAAGTTTCTTACAAGTGCACCAATTCTCTTTGTAAAGAAAAATGATAGACCCTTGTATACATCTGGAGAGTACTTTAGACTCAAAAAATTGACCATCAATGATTTTTATCTTTTTTTTTTATCTTTTTTTTTTTTTTTTTTTTTTTTTGATATTGAGAATATAATTTTAAGAATTTTAAGAATTTTTTAATTTTAAGAATATAAAGAAGTATGAAAAGCATCTTTGACCTTTACAATAATCACTTAAACATATTAGACTATATATCAAGATAGAGACTATATATTTCACATGATTCAAATAAAAATTTTAGGATATTTTATGCTAAATGATGTTTTTTGAATGAATATTAAGAAGGTATGAACTACTATGGATTTGACAACTCCAAGAAAAATATATGATGTTTAGTGTTTTTGAGATTTACAAACTATCATCAAATATTTATTGATAATCTTTTTCAAGTTTTTGCTCTATTTACATAATAAATTTTCAAAGGTAAGTATGAACAAAGTTAAGATAATAATACAAAAATTTAAGGTTTAAAAATTAATTTTTATTTTAGCTCATATTATGAATTATCTAATCTTTTTTAAGTCATAATTTTCATATATATATATATATATATATATATATAAACTAGATACATTTCTATTGCAAACAGATGCAAATAATAAATTTAATTTAATTTTTATATTAAAAAATTATAATTATTAAAATTAACTATGAGATGTATGACCAAAAAATCCTTGCTATTATTGATTCAATCTAAGAATTACAATATTATATTGAAGGTACTTTTTATATGGCAAAAAATTATCTCAATGACAAGGATCTTTAGTATTTCATGTCAATACATGTCTTAAATTATCACAAAGCTTGTCAAAGCATGTTTTTATCACAACTTGTATTTAAATTTACATGTTGTCTTGAAAAATAACAAGTCTTAATAGATGCTTTGTTTAGATGTTATCTTGTATAATTAGAAGAATATGTTTCATATAACCCACAAAAAATAGTTTCCTTTAAATTGAAGCAATTTCATTTTTGAGGTTCTAAATCAACAATTTTACTTTTTATAATAAAATTTGTTCAAGGACATTAACAAACAATTTTTTTTTTTTTTTTTTTTTTTTTTTTTTTTTTCTTATGTTGAAAATAACGTGTACAATGATTCTACCAAATATAGATTCAAAAACAACATTCTTTATTATAAATGATATTTATATATTCCAAAAGATTAAACATAATTATGTGAACTTATGAATTTTTGGCAATAAGATATTTTTAATGTAACAAAGCTTTTGAGCTTATTTTAAGTAATTTTTGGTCGTATCAAATGAAAAAGAAGTTACTAAATCATTTTTTAAAAAATCTAATGACACTTATCCTTGAGCAAAGACTCCATGTCATTGATCCAATGAACTTTAATCTCTAACTATTTTGAAGAAAATTTATAGAACTTTAATAGAACTTCAAAAATTCATAGAACTTCTTTTTAATATAAAAAATTAATAACGAATAAATTTATTTTAATAATAAAAATTTAGAATTTTTAAAATAAATTACTTGAGCCATTTTAATTTAGACAATATTATTGTATTATAAACCATGTTATTTAAGAATGCACTCGAATCTTGATTGTAAAAGATAAAGTTGTATTTTGTAATTTATCAAAAATCCTAATAAATCTTCATGAAATCCTAAATAGACCTAATTGAATCCTATCAATCCTAATCAAATCCTACAAAAATCTTAGTCAAATCTTAAATAATCCTAGCTAATCTTAGAGATATTATAATTAAAATTTAATAATATTCTAACCAAATCTTAATCAAATCTTAATTCAATCTTAAATAAATCTTAATAAAAATATAAAAAATGCTAATCAAAATCTAAAATTATTCTTATAAAATCTTAACCAAACTTAATCAAATCCTAAAAAAATCTTAATCAAATTCTTATTCAACCTTGATTACATCTTAATTAATCCTTTAATAAATTAAAAATAAAATAATTTAAAAACTATTAATTTATTTTAATATAGATTCTACAAATCTATTAGTATTTTAGTTGAAATTTAATTCAAGAAATTTGAAGCAACATAATCTTTTAATTGAATAAAAATGCACATAATTTGCTTGAGTATCAACTAACCTCTATTTCCAACTTTGATGTTGAGTTTCCAATGCTAATATATCTTTTTATTGATTTTTCACTTGTTTTTAAATTTTTCTAAAATTTTGAATATTAACTCAACTACAAACTTACAAAAATTCACTGTAATCTAATATGTAAATTGCTAAAAGTTTAGAAAACTCTCACTAGCCTTCAAACTCCAATTCTTAAAATCACAATCTACTTGAATTTTAATATCTTTTAATCTAATTGTCTAATTAAGCCCAAATTCAAAATATACATATAACACAATTATATTCACTAATTTATATGTTTTGAATTTTAGATCTTCTAAAAAACTCACAAATTTTATTAATTTATCTTATTTTTACTTTTTTATAGTCATAGAAGTAAATTAAATTTCTTTCAACAAAAGAATTACATAAATATTATTATTATATTTTTTACTTATCATTTCTAAATTAATTTTTAATCTTTTTTATACTAAATTTAAAATTGACATTTTCTATAATATTAGTCATCTTTTTTTTATTCACCTAATAATTGTGTTAAAATATAAAAATTTTAGAATTATAATAAAGATTTTGAAGTAAGTCATACTATTATTTAAAAAAATGGAAAAATTCAACGTATTTAATATCAAAATCTTAAAAAAACTTTTAATTTTGAGTAATATTATACTTTATGAAATTAAAAATATGTTATTTAAAAGTAGTTTTAAAGGCTTTGACATTAATCAAATAATTGAATGGTCTTTGTATCTTGGTATGAAATCTTATCAATGATTAAAGAAACTTATTAAAAACACTTGCAAAGTAAAAAAAATTTAATGCTAAAAGTATTTAATGGATCTTAGATTTCATCAATTTATAAATTGATTTGACTACTCTATGAGGGAGTTATTTTTAAAAATAAAGAATAACGTAATACACATGCATTTTTACTTAAGTAAATAGAAGTAGATAGAAATAAGTAGAAGTATATTAATTTCATTATAATATCTTTAAGTAATATCATAGATACTTCTTACATGCAATTTTGACATAAAAGTATTACAAGGTGTTGTTCATGTTGGATACATATCTTCTCAAGTTTGCCACAAGTTACACATATTGGCATATTGTATTATAAGTTGGTCAATTTTTTTATATGTTGGCTACTTATATCACCAACCACATGATCTTTAAGAAGATATTATATAGTATTTTTAGTAGTTGGTATATATAGTAACAAAAATGAGGCCATTATCTCTAGATCAGAAAATTTTGAGTCCTATATATATGCCTTATATTCAATTATTAACAAAAAAAATCAGTTTAAATATTAAAATTATAAAAATAAAATATGGTATTTTTGGCTAAAAAATTAGGAACTAATACATTAAATTTGTAATTTTTTTAATAATAATAATAAATTAAAATAATATATTAAAACTATTTATGAGATTAAAATTGGCATATAAAGTAAAAACCTAAATTGATACAACTTTAAGTTTAAAATAATCCTTTAAATTTGATTTTATTGACTATA